AGAATAGAATGAATAGAAAATATTGAATAGACTAGAATGTAGAATAGAATGTAGAATAGAAAATATAAAAGAATGTAAATAGAATAGAATTAGAATTAGAATAGAATAAAAATCTAGAATAGAATAGAATGTAGAATAGAAAATCTAGAATAGAATGTAGAATAGAAAATATAGAGTAGAATAGAATGAATAGAAAATATTGAATAGACTAGAATGTAGAATAGAATGTAGAATAGAAAATATAAAAGAATGTAAATAGAATAGAATTAGAATTAGAATAGAATAAAAATCTAGTATAGAATAGAATGTAGAATAGAAATATAGAATAGAATGTAGAATAGAAAATATAAAATAGAATGTAAATAGAATAGAATTAGAATAGAATAGAATAAAAAATCTAGAATAAAATAGAATAGAAAATATAGAATAGAATAGAATGGATAGACTAGAATAGGAATAGAGATTCTATAACAGGTCCTTTACAGCTCTATTTTGATTGATCGAGTTGAATCTTTGCCCTGGATCAATCAATATGATGAAAGGTCTATAACAAACGTAGATTTTGCAGAATGTGTGGAAATTCACCTATTATAGCAAAGGCTCCCCAGTACAACTAGACTGTGGGCCACAATCTGACAGTAAAAACACTGGAGCGTGTTGCTTTATCTATTGGGTAGAGGAATCTCAGGACGCACGCACGTCCATCTGCGTCTGAAGATGGGCCAAGAAAACCATAAGCCTGCAATTCCATTCTATCTCGCTAGATGGTGCTAAAAAAAGCTTTAAACTTTCAGGGGGAAACAGAGCTGAGCCATGATTTTGTTCAATTTTCATCATCTGCCCTTTAGCAGGCCCAGGTAATTCCTGGCTTTAGTTTATCTGCAAAAAAACCAAGAACAAATTAATAAATAGTTGTCTGAGCTTGATCTTGGAGTCCTAAGTGGACAACCACATAAATATGAGCCAGCAGTGTGCTTTTGCAGTTACCCAAAAATGCCAACTGAGTGATAAGCTTCATTAACAGAGGGATAAAACTGCATGAAATGTTAGGACCACTTTATAATGCCTTGATAAGATCCCACTTGGAACACTGAATCTGGTTTTGGTCACCACGATATAAAAAAGATATCGAGTCTCTAAGAAAAAGTTCAGAGAAGAGCAACAAAAATAGGAGACTGGAGGCTAATGTGAAAAACGGTTGCTACAATTGGGTATTTTCACTTTAATGAATGAATTAATTAAAGGGATGCCGTGGCTCAGTGGCTAAGACACTGAGCTTGTCAATCAGAAAGGTCGGCAGTTCAGAGGTTCGAATCCCTAGCGCCGTGTAACAGAGTGAGCTCCCGTTAATTGTCCCAGCTTCTGCCAACCTAGCAGTTCCAAAGCATGTAAAAATTCAAGTAGAAAAATGGCCCTCCTGACCTCCGTTTTTGTTGGCAGAGCGCTCAGGCAGCCACGGGCGCCCTCGAAATCAAGCTGGCCACACCCACCCTGGCCACGCCCACCCCAGCCCCCTGAGATCAAACAC